CCTAAGCACATACTTGCTTAAGGGAGCGGGAAGGCTCGTTACGCTCTTGTCGTGGGTTCTGGCTCTTTCCGGACCGACTAATTGGAGGCGGGGAAAGGTGGAGGTCTAAGCACCATACTGAGACTGGGTCTCAAGTGTGGGGGCTTGGAGTCCAAGTTTGGATGGGGACCTAGACCCCTCGATAGGAGTGGAATGGGTTGGTCTCATTTGTGCCTAGGGTACAAGCGAGACATGTGTTTCGGGGTACCCAGCTAGGATACATTGGTTCGTGAATCGCCATTTCTATAAGATGGTACGACTTGGCTATGGTCCAGCACTGTAGTAAGAACTAGAATATGAAATATGGTAAAATAGTTCTGATTGCTTACCACCTGCTTGAAAGTAGCATAGGTGCTTACATAGAATGGTTAGTTAATAAACTAATGATGACTGCTAATAAAATTGAATATAAGGACGCACGTTTAGTAATGCTTCCGCAGATGCAAAACCCACAAGCCAAATAAGCCTGGCCCTTTCGGATAAGTCTTGTTTAGTGCAATTGTGTACTCAGGGTTTTATTCCCCTGTTGTAGGTGACAGATGAATGGTAAACGACTCTGGTGTGTGGAAACCTCCTGGTGGGCTCAAAAAGGATTCCTTTCATGCGGCGATCGTAGTATTTATTTATAACCATCACTAAAGGTTGTTATAAGAAAAGTTTTTATAAACCGCCATCATATCTTGAATAGAAATATTCACTTGTTAATGCTTCACATATCATTAAATAACTTTCTTTCCGCTAAAACTCTGATCACATGTTTAATTCCGCTATTGTATTAATCAATGTAAGAAATGACTAAAAATATTGTAAGCTTTATACTCTCATTTATGATCCTCATGAAAAAATATGGAGTTTCGAGCTCTCCCTCGGGGTGTGCTCGATAGAACTGCATAGTTTATTGTCGTCGCTTGGGTACTCAGTGTCTAATGGAAGATAAGTACTCTTGAGAGAGCATTGGATTAGGCGGTTCTGCCACAATATGCTTCTACACATGGTAAATATGCTTGGGCAAGCAACATGAATTCAAATGAATTTCAATTCATATCTTTGTGAAAGGGTTGTCATCAATTACCAAAAAGGGGGAGATTGAAAGCTCTAGTTTGGTTTCGATGAATTGTTGAAACCCTAAGTGCTAACCTATGTGCTCTAGTGATCATGAGATAGGTAGCACTATTCCAAGTGGTGGAGCAATGGTGAAGATCATGATGATGGTGTGGTGACCATGGTGATCAAGTGCTCAGCTTGGAAAAGAAGAAAGATAAAAACAAAAAGCTCAAGGCAAAGGTTAAACTCGATAGAAGCTTTTTGGTTTAGTGATCGAGACACTTAGCGAGTGTGATCACATTTAAGATCGATAGCTGTACTATTAAGAGGGGTGAAACTTGTATCAAAATGCGGTTATCAATGTGCCATTAGATGCTCTAAATTAATGCATATGCATTTAGGATCTAGTGGAGTGCTAACACCCTTGAAAATGTTTGTGAAAATATGCTAACACACGTGCACAAGGTGTTACACTTGGTGGTTGGCACATTTGTGCAAGGGTGGAAAAGTTGGTGATGTGAAGGAGGTGTTTGTCAGTGTCTTACGGTGACTGGACGCTGAGCTCGGCATGACCGGACTCAGCCGGTGTGTCTGGTCAGTTCAGAGCAGTGAAGGGCTCAGCCTCGGTGAGCGACCAGATGCTAGGTCAAAATGTGACCTAACGCGACGTGCGTCTGGTCGAGGATGACATAGGCTGATGTGGTGGCGCATAGTGAGTAGAAGGAGGACCTGATGCTGGGTGCGTCCAATCATGGCGCATCTGACGTGTCTAGTAGTAGTTGGGCACCTCTGGATCATCTCTAGAAGTGACCTAACACGCGGGTGTTGGCGTTGATTGGCGCGTCCGGTCAAGGCAAGGCCTTGGCGCGCGTGGGCAAGGACTGACGCAATCGGTGCATCCAGTCATCACTTAAGCTAGCTCACGAATGAAGTAGCCATTGGTGATCGGCGGTTGATGTTAAACGTTAGACGATACGTGGCAGCAATCGGGTGACCGGACGCTAGTGGCGTGCGTCCGGTTGATCTGACCGGCGCATCCGGTCACCTCGAGAAGTGTGCAGTGAGGAGCCCAACGGCTCTATTTTGAGGGGGCCTCTATTTAAACCCCATGGCTAGCTCAAGCTCACTTTCTTGGCCATTTGCATTGACATAGCAACCTTGTGAGCTTAGCAAAAGCCCTCCCTTTCATCTCCATTATTGATTCATCATCTTTGTGAGATTGGAAGAGAATCCAAGTGCATTGCTTGAGTGTTTGCATCTAGAGGCACTTGTGTTCATGTTTCGCTGCGGGATTCGCTTGTTACTCTTGGTGGTTGCTGCCACCTAGACGGCTTGGAGCAGCGAGGATCATCGAGCGGAGGTTGGTGATTGTGTTCCGGCTCCGATCGTGGTGATTGTGAGGGGTTCTTGACCTTTCCTCGGCGGAGAGCCAAAAGGTACTCTTGTGGATTGCTCGTGGCTTGTGTGATCCTCATCTTGTGTTGGTTGTGAGGCACCCTATTGAGGGTTTGGCATGTGATGCCAATTAGCACGTGAACCTCCATGTGAATGAATTGCCACAACGAGGACTTGCTTGTTGGCAAGCAAATGAACCTTGGTAAAAAATTATTGTGTCATCATTTGATTCCGAGGTGATTGGTCTTCATTGGCATTCATTCTTTGTGATTGATTGGCTCCATTGGTGATTGGCTCATTCCTCTACACGGCGGTATAACACTCTATCCTTCCCGTGTATTTACCTTTCTTAGTGTAGCTTGGCCCTTTAGTGTAACTAGTTTTGAGGGCAAGCAAGTGTCGGTCTAGTTTGGTTAGTGAGGCTCTTTAGTTAGTCTTTGAGAGCTCACTAACTTAGAGTAGTGACTTAGCCTTGTATGCCTAAAGACAATAACAACTAGAATTGAGGTAGATGGCTTGCATTTTTATTAGGCTAGCGCAACATTCGCTTCGCCTCATATTTGTCTAACCGGTTTGCTAAGTGTTGTTGTAGAATTTTTTAATAGGCTATTCATCCCCCTCTAGCCATTAGGACCTTTCAGAGGTGGCCACCACGTCCACCATGAATGAAAGGTCTGCATTAATTAGGAGTAACCGGGCGGTCGGTATGCCCACCTAGGTTAATCAATTAAAAAAACAAAAAAGCTAGCAAGCCCATTGATGGGGCCCGCTGAGCCCATCGACGCGTAGTCGCTGCTGCTCGTCGGATTGCTCGTCGGGGCCACCCTCCACAACCAATCGACTCGTTGGGGACTCCGTCCACCGGATCTGCGCATTGGGGTCGCCCTCCACCACCTGATCCACTCGTCGGGCTACCCTCCACCCGACTCGCGCGTTGGGGCCACCCTCCACCACCGGATCTGCTCCTCAAGGCCGTCCTCAACAGGATTAACGCATGCACGTCGCCGCTGGCCCACGAGTTGGCGCCGCTCATGCCACCGTCGGGACCGGATCTGACCAGGGAAGGAGGCCGCGTCCCCACACCATCGCCTAGGTAGGTGGCGCCCCTCGCACCGCCATCGTGGTGGAGGTTGCCACCAAGGGGGCCCTAGTGTGTGCGACCACCTACAGGAGAGCCCCTCGTGCGGGCCCGTACACCTACCGTCGGTGCCACCCCCACGCCACGTAGCCCCACACCGAGAGAGAGAAGTGAGAGAAGTGAGAGAAGAGAGACAGCCGGTTCAGACTTGAGAGAGAGAGAGAGAGAGCTGAGGCGCATCCAAACCCTAACTTGTCATATATATATATGTGGGCACAGATAATGGACCTCTTGGGTCTTTTGGATATCGGGCTATTTTCCTGAGACGGACCTCTTAAGAGGTCCGCCTTCGAAAATGGTCTCCTCCAAAAATGGCCTCCATTTTCGAGAGACGGACCTCTTAAGTGGCCAGCCTCCGTAAATACATTTTAGGAGGCGGGCGATATCTGACCTCCTGTGTAAATAAAACGTCCACCTCCGTAAATCTATTTTATGAGACGGGCAATTGTGACAGCCTCCGTAAATAAAAATCACCATCTCTAAAAATCCTCAAGTATTTTAGGAGACACGGTTGCATTTTGTGACCGTCTGCGTTAATGTTTGGATAGTGTGTAACAACCCTAAAAATTCAAGAACCCAAAAATCCCACCTTTCAAAAACTTTTCTAAAAACACCATTGCTTGGTGAATGATACATGCTAGGAAGCTACCCTAGTTGCACAAGTAGATCCAAAACTAGATGGTTGAGCATTTGCACTAATTGAAACTCATGAGTTGCTTCTTTGGTTCTTCATGACTTGCTAATAAAATCTTGATTAACCTCTTAATTAAATACTCTTGTTGTGTGTGGGTCCAAGCCCCGGCTTGACCAATCCCTAGTGTTGACCTAGGTGCCCCCCACTAAGGTGGTAATACATGTATACATGGATAGGTGTTAGGAAGTGGAAAATAGAATTAGAATTAGAAATAGAAATAGAAAGACTAATGCTGTGACTAAAATAGGTCCAAAACTGATTTGGAAGTCAAACCGACTCAGAAACTGCGGAAAGTCGGCTAAGCCAGTTTTTATGGGCCTGAATGGGCTAAAAACAGGGTGAGTCGGCTTAGCCGACTCTAGCCGAGCTTCCAAAATTTATAATTATTTCATTCGAACGCTAAATTTGGCGATCCATATATGTTTTTCGATCAGTTCGACGAGAGGAACACAATGATTTTAGCATTTGACAAAGTTGGGAAAGTCGGCTTAGGCGACTTAGGGTGGGTCAGCCCTCGAAAAGTCTTTATCCTCGTCCGGGCTCCAAATGCGATGATTCAAGTATGCTTTCTGACCATCTTGACAATAGAGACATGATTGTGGAATCCATTATGCACTTTGGATAATTTTGGGTGTCAACACTGCAAATTAATTAAGAATGAAATGGGTCGCTGCAGAGGTAGGTGGGTGATCACAAGGGCGTGAGGCTGATCCGCTTGAGGAGGAAGAAGTAGGCGAGGATTCGGTAGGCGAGCGCCATGGCGAGCAGGATCCAGACCTCGCGCATGCCGCCGTCGAGGTCCACGGTGCCGAACGACGGTGACGACTGCAGGCGCTGACAGCCGCCCCGGCTGGCACAGTTGTACGTGAGGTGGCCGTGGTATTGCGCTTTGAGCAGCAGGTTGAAGCCGTAGTGCATGAAGGAGACGTACTTGAGCCAGCGGATGAACTTGGGGATGTGCTGGACGTAGTAGCCGCCGGTGAGGAGGAAGAGCATGAGCACGAGCGATGCCATGACCCCAGCCCTCTTGATGCTGAGGATGGCAGCGCCCAGCAGCTCCCCGGTGCCCTGGCTGGTGAACACGATGAGCAGCGTGGCGAGGAGCGTGAGGAAGAAGCACGGCACGGTGCGGCGGAGGCCCGCCATGAAGTAGAGGATGGCCATGAAGAGCACCGGGTACACGACGTGCGGCACGGCGTCGCACAGCGTGCTGCTGGCGTAGTAGGCGCTCAGCAGGTACATGTCTGCCTTGCGCTCCTTCACCAGGTACAGCTTCTCGACGGGGAACACGTAGACGGAGCCGAACAGCGACGAGCCGACGACGACGTCCAGAAGGTGCAGACGTAGAAGATGAGCCCCACCTGGTCCCGCAGCTGGGCCTCGGTCCCGGTCTGGGACTTCCACCAGAGGAGGCCCAGCAGGAGCGCCACGCCGAGGGTCTGGGCGAGCCGCATCTTGTCCAGGTAGTCGGAGGCGCGCTCCCGGAACGTGCGCCGAGACAGCACGGCGAACTGCTGGAGCCAGCCGATGCTCCGGCGGTGGTCCTTACGCACCCGCAGCGCCAGCCGCAGCTGGTCGGTGGGCGCCCCTTCCCCCCGCGGGAGGCTCGCCACCGGCCCGGTACTTGAGCTGCAGATGCCTGATGACCTGGGGCCTGAACTCCTGCGGGTCCGGCGAGCCGCCGAGCAGCGCCTCGGGGACGCTGATGTCGTCGAGGTTGCCGGTGGCGAGGTCCAGCAGGAACTCGGCCGGGTTCATGGGGATCTCCGGAACGAAGCCCAGCGAGGAGAAGTGGTGCATGCAGTCCCGGGCCTTGCCGTGGTAGATGCCGCGCCCGTCGGAGATGAGCAGAAGCTTGTCGTACATGTGGAACATCCGGCTCGACGGCTGGTGGATCGTCGTCATGATCGTCCTCCGCTTCTGCAACGTAACCATCCAGGATCGAATTCATTAACAACATGATCGTCGTTGTCGTCGGTGGCGTTGCTGCCTGCAAATGTATGCGGCGTGCTCCTATGTGGGACCTTGGCGAGGCGCTGCAGGATGAGGATGAGCTTGCTCGCCGACGTGGAGTCGAGGCCGGAGGTGGGCTCGTCGAGGAGGAGCAGCGACGGGTAGACGAGGATCTCGTTCCCAATGCTGGTCCTCTTCCTCTCGCCTCCTGACACCCCCCTCAGTCCCTCACGAACGCTCCGCCGATCTTGGTGTGCCGGCACCTAAAACAATTCAAATGAGGATCGATCGCAACTCCATGGAAACGCAAATCCTCGATAAATTAAAGAAAGACAATCAAGGCAACCTCTCTAGATTCAACTCCGTGATGATGGCGTCGACCCTGTCGCGCTTCTGCTGCTTGGACATGCAAGCAGGGAGCCTCAAGAAGGCGGCGAACACCAGCGTCTCCTCCACCGTCAGCTGTGGGAAGAGGACGTCATCTTGAGTCACAAATCCTATCCTGCAGCGCACAGATTGATAAAACAATCAAAGAAATGCGCGCCAAGGATTTATCTTTCACAGCAAATGCTTGGCAATATTTGTGTCACTGAATCAATTATTAAGTTGAGTGAAAATTCTTGTTTGTTATTACAGTTTTACCTCCTTTTGAGGCAGGCGCTGTAGGGAGTGTTATTGTAGGTTATCTGGCCCTTGATGCCACCACCGAGCCTGCCTCCCAGGATCTTGAGCAAGGTGGTCTTGCCACTGCCAGATGGGCCCATCAGCGCTAGGATCTCACCGGGGTCCACACTCCCTGATCCACCGTCATCTGGGATGCAAACGCCACTCTTACAGCTGTGAGGGGGTTCTTCAAAGTCATCTTCACCCAGTACTCCACATTCTCGAACTGCGTTGTCGCGCTTGCACATATCAGAGTTTGTTTTACAGCCTACTAAAACAGGAGTGCGATATATATGTAGTAGAAAAGTGTAATACCTTGAGGAATATTGGAAGAGGGCCATCTTTTGTTGGCCACAGATGATCCTCCTCCACCTCGACTTCGGCATCAGCATCTCCATTGCCTTGCCAGGAAGGAGAAAGATGTTTGCACTCCACAGTGGACATTTCCATCCTCTCCTTATCACTCATCTCCATTGGTAAGGCAAGAAAGTTGTTTTAAGAGAAGCCAGGAAGGAGCGAGAAAGTTGTTTCAAGAGGAAGCCAAGCATATGACATCCCTATTCTTTTATGAAGTAGTAGGAAATGAGAGAGGTGTGAGCTTAGGTAACTACTTTTATGAAAAGTAATTCAATATCCACAAGGTATGTTATATATATTTCTAAATTACACACTTATACAATCGTGAAGCTACAAGTCAGCATAATACAATGTTCCACCATATAGACCAAGTGAACATGTATATATTAGAATAAATATTTAATTTTAATAGCTTATGAAACATAAAAAATATTCACTTAACAAACCACACAACAATTACAATGAAAGTTCGCTTTAATTTATATTAATACCCCATGAAAATAAATTTCATTAATTATTATTTCAAATACATTTATAAATTTTGACTAAATATTATATCATATCACCATTGTTAATTTAATTTTAAGCACTCTGTGTTATATAAAACAATACTACTAGATATATAATCATGTGTATAACAAATTCAACATGTGTAGTGCATGGGTGCAAGTTGAGTTTGACTTAACATATAGAAAATACTACTACTATGACCCAAACTCTTTTATAATAAATAAAAAATTTAAAATTTTGAATAAATGATAATAAAACTAGAGTTCCAACATATATTAGATGTTAAAAGCTGAAAACTAAACTATAGATTAAGTCACAGGATGCGATGCAACAAGAGCTTATATATTAACTTATTAAGCTTAGGTTTCAACTAAATGCATATCATGTTAAAAAAAGAGAGAAATTCTATAAATTATATCTAAAGGTGACCAATGGAGGCTCCATGTTCCTGACCAACAATTAGGTAAAATCTAAATACCAATGATAGTAATAGGAACCAGGCACGCTAAAAAAAGATAAATCCTAGAAATTCTCACATTATTAATAACAAATATCCGGTCTTTAATTTGATAGACTCTAATCATCATCGCTGATAATAATAATTGGATCTATTCTAATTTATAAAAAATCACTGTAACACCCTAAAATTTGTACTTTTGAAAACAGGATTAAAATGATTTATTTATGAATTTTTGTGCACATGAAAAATTAGAAAAAGGAATATTTCTCATTATATTAAAATTCATCATAAGGAGTAGCAACATGGATGTGTATACATGCCATTGCATTTTGTTTATTATGATAAGTGGTTTGATCCAAATTCAAATTTATTTAAATTGTTTTTGAAAATGGATTTAAAAATAGAATTCTAAAAAAAATGGAGAAAGCTTTCCCCTCCTCTTCTGGCCCGACAGCCCAACTCTCTCCTCTCTCTCCCTTTTTAGCCTAGCTACTTCTCTTTCCCCGCCCCCCGCCCCCCGCCCCCGCGGTAGCCTAGCTAGCTCCGCAGGCCCAATCCCATCCCGCAAGCCCAGCTCGACATCACTTCTCCCTTTCCTTTCTTTGGCGCAGCCCAACAGCAGGCCGGGCCTAGCTGGCATCAGGCCCGCACGCGTGGAGCCTCTCCCTATTCTCTGTTTGGCTAATGACCGGGCCTCACAACCCTGTACCTCTGCCGGCTGGAGCCCACGAGTCAGTCGTTCCCTACCTCCAGACATGCCCGAGCCGGACTCTATCCGAAGAGGCGTCCGCAGCTGCTCCGTCCTCATCGATTTGCGTGCGCTCCAAGTTGCCCCGTCCCTATAAAATCCAAGCCCCGTGCCCGCACCGCTCTCCTATCTCATCCAGCACTAGCCTCGACCTCGCTAGAGCTACAGCCACCGCGAAACCCTAGCAGTTCAAGCCACCGAAGTCGCCTCGCCGTTCCGTCGCTTCGCCGTCGTCCGGGACTACTCGCCGAGCTTCTACGCGAGGTAAGCAAGCCCCCGGTACTTGTTTTTCCTTCTACACTTTCTGTCGCTTGTGCCGCGTCGCTGAAGTACCACCGGCGAACCCGAGCCGAGCTAGTCCCCGAGCTGTAGTAGCCCCTTCTGATCCCCTAGATGGATTCGCCTTGTTCTCCTCTTGCTCCCTGACCTTCTCCCGAGCCAAACGGTGGCTAGAGTCACCGATTCGTCCAACTCCGATGAGGTCCCGTCAATGGCGCTGCCGCTTGGACTCGCCGCCGGTTGGTAGCCCTCTCCTTCCTTCTCCCTTCTAATTTCGACCATCCAATCTCGATCCAACGGCTCAGATTAGTCCGTACCCTTTCGGCTGGCTTATTTGCTAAAGAGTCCTCTAGGTTTTTAATTATATAACCTGTCGTCCCTATATTTTTGCAGAAGAGACCCTATGCTTCCTACAAATTCCGCTCACCGTCCCTGATCAGATTTCAATTCCAATTTTGATTTATTTTTAATTCAAAAATCAATTCTGGATATTTACAATATTGCCATCCAACTTCCAAACCCTATATCTTCCGCGTTTTAACTCCGATTTGACCCGTTCAAGTTGTGTTAGATTCGTAACGACGTAATCTACGCATTAGTAACAATATTTATCATATCACTAGCCCTAGAATTTCATGGTTTAAACTCTAACTTGAATAATAATTATGCAACTAGATTTTATAAATAAAATGTGATTTGTTTTACTTTAGTTTTATAATTCAAATCTAAATATGACTTAATTCAATTTATATAAGCTTTTATATAGTTAGAACACATGAAACTTATAGTTTTATATTTTCTCTTATGAGTAGATCTTTCGGTAGCCGTTTCTTTCAAACCGTAGCTCCGATTAGTGTGCTCTTCCCGCCTGTGTGTGTAGAACGTCTTTAAAACCTTTTTACTTACTGTTTCACATGTTTGGTGTAATGTTCTAATTTAGTTCTATTATTTGCTTCGTGTATGATTGCATGGATGTTTGTGTGGTGTTCTATGATCATGTCCAATCGGTGAGCTATACGTGGTGAATCAAGAAGCAGTTCTTGGAAGGTTTGGACTAGAAGAAGATTAGAGTTTAAGACAAGTATAGCATGGGATCTTCCTTGTTGTTCTATTCACTTTAATGATTTATTCATGCTGCATGTGTCTACCTTGAAAACCACTAAGGATTTCCTAGTACTTTGTTACCTTGTGCTTTGATACCTATGGGATATAGCATTGGGTAGTATGATGCTAGTGCTCAACTACAACCATGATCTTGTAACTTGACTAATGGTATATGCAATAAACACTAAAAGATGTTTTTAGCAAATGGCTTAAAAGGGCTAGAGCATTGGGCTATTATTATGGTGCTCTAGATTCCTCTCCCTAAGGACTTATCTGTAAGTGATCATCTGGAACTTACAGTACAACTGTGAGGGCTACATAGCTCTAGCTTTAGTTAAGTATAAGGACCTTTTCTAGCTTGTTAGTGGTTACCTTTATGGCATAAGAATGGCTTGACAAATTGGGTATAAGACAGTGTCTACTCTTATGTGTATAGCCATGATGGAATTATGTCGTTCGACAAGTGGATTCTATATCTGTTTGCCAAGTGAATCTAATGGCCCTAACTTGTTAGACGAACCTTTGAAAGGCTTCATAGTGAACCCTGCCGACCTTCCTTGGTAGTGGGTTAAGAGGCTCATGACCTCTGGCAAAAGGGTAAATCATGACTCACAATAAAAGTGTACAACCTCTGCAGAGTGTAAAATTGGTATATCAGCCATGCTCACGGTCACGAGCGGCCTTGGAATATTTATGGAATAGATGATCACTAATGGTTAATGATGATGAACACGGATGATACTGATGATGAAGATGCTCATTAATGATTACTGTTTACGCTATTCATTATTCATGTTTACCTAATCATGTGTTTATATGGGCTTGTGAATAAACTTGTTGCCACTCTATTGCTAAAATTATGACTCATTAAAAGCTAATCGCAGATAACCAGTGTCAGTCTTTTGAGCCTCATGAACCCTATGTTATATTTGTTGAGTATGACATGTACTTATGCTTGCTTTATTTTTTCAATTATTTGGATAAAAATCGTGGATGGGTACCAGATTGCTAGAGTTTGGAGAAGTTAGGCTTGTGATCAACCAGTCAAATGTCCCTGTGGATTTGGAGTCTTCGCCTGAAGATTGGAGTTGTCTTTCCATTGTCTATACTCTGAGGTTGTATTCTTTATACTAATACGCTATGTATTTAAGCATTGTCTATTGATATTACCCTTATTTGTAGCTATATGTGAGATTTGACTTCCTAGGCTCACATATGGTGTGTATGTGATTTTGTTCTTAAAACTGGATGCTACAAAGTGGTATTAGAGCAATGCTAACTGTAGCACGCAAGCCTAGTAGAGACTGACCGTTTTAAGGTTTAGAAGTTGCTACAAAAATCCTTGCTCTATGAACCTTGATATTTTCTTCTCTACTATATCTCTACCCTTGTTATTCATCTTTACCTTGGTGCTTATTTTGAAGTCTTTATTCTCATCTTCACTCCTTGATTTGATATGCTTTTAGAACTATCCCTCATCACCTTCTTGCGTAATCTGAAGATGAGTCTTAGAATTGTTACCCCTAGTACAATGAGGACGATAGTATCGCAAGTTGAGTCAATGATTGAATTGTGCACCTTTAGTGCTTTGTTGAATTGTCATTATGCTTCTGCTTGTTTTGAATCTTTGTAATGATTGCAATGATCTTGTTGGGTGTTCTCATAATTTCATTTAGCTTATAGGCCTAAGATATAAGGATTAATGAAATAAATAGTTGGGTTATGGTTTTCTTCTGATTTCCCTATCCTGCCTTTTCAGAGCAACCTGCCTTTATCGGCTTATATCTCTGTTCTTGGATGACCAAAAATCATGAGAAAATTCTATACAATAGTAGACTTCGATATGTTTCTTTGACCACAAGAACTGCCCTCATATCAGTTTTGGTTATGGAGGTATGAAAATCACAAGACGATACACATGTGCTGTTTAAAAACTGGAGTAGTTTCTGTTGTGCACTGTTTTTGACTACATAACTGTAGAATTTGGAAAAGTTTTCTATAAGTATCTTGTGGAGG